CCGAGTTGCTCCCGGTGGGACTGGATGGCGCCTTGCATGGCAGCCTACCGCCACCGGTGTATGAATGTGCGTGTGAATGGGTGGATGGCTGGTACTGTAAAGCGCCTTGGGGCCCCTCATAGGGGGCTGGAAGGCGCTATAGAAGTAAGCTCCATTTACCATTTACCATTTACCATATTCAGGAAATCCATTTCATAGTTTGCAGCCAGTTACAACGTGAGGACTGAGTTAGCAGCACTGTGGCTAACAGCTAACAAACTTTTCATCTAAACATGTCCACAGTGTAGAAGTATTTTACACTAGAAACACCACAAAACAAGACAGCATCGTGCAATGTCTGCAGAATCATATCGCCACATTATATCGCAGTAAAGTTAGTTTTATGATGGACATTCGAGCTCCGTGGCTTCTGCAGGGCGCTTCTCTTTGCTCAACTCACAACAGGTGACTCGACCCCAGTCAGCCGCGTCCAATCTGCCCCTCTCAATCTGCCCGTCTCTGAGGAGGGACAGACTTGAGCGCGGCTGCCCCAAATCAGTCTGCCTGCTTCGGATTGAACAAGAAGAAGACATCGCTGAAGCCACGGAGCTCGAATGTTTACAGAGAGGTTGCTAAACTTCATCATGATTCATGACCAACCACTATCAGTTGTAGAAAACGAAAGATTTCACAGCTTGATACTTGCAGCCAAGATATAGTTTACCCTCCAGGAGATATTTATCAGTACAACAGTAGACCATCATAAAAAAAAACATGATTTGAAAATTATATTAAAAACAAAAAACAGCTACATCATAAAGTGATGTAAAATACTAAAAACAGGAACATGCCTGTTGGTTTATTCCAGGTGTTTGAAGCCATTTAACATTTTATTTTATTTAGTTCATTTATTCATTCATTTAAAAGAAACACAATTAAAAAAAATAATCAAAAAGAAAACATTGAATGAAAAGAGTGCAGAAAGAAGAAAAATAATTCTTATATCTGCCCCTTATTTAAAAAACATATAAAATAACTTTAAACAATCACTTAAATTAATCACTTTAATATCCACTTTAAAACTAGGAATAAAAAGAAACATGTTTTGTGTTAGCAGAATTTAATTCTAACTTTAAAACTTATCCAACATTAATACAACTTACCTCAAGTGTCCTTTTTGGACATGCATGCATATATTTGTACAAATTGTACTTGAGAGGAGATTATTACAGCCTCATATAAAATCAGTGATGATCATGATATCAGAACTGGATCGGTATCAGCAAATATTTAGTTTTAGGTATTGGGATCGGATCGGAAGTTTAAAAAAGTGGATCGGTACATCCCTAATAACACTTATGTGATCAGAGACGCTGATGCGGGGGAGGGGAAGGGCCTTGTAAGCTCCTTTCATGGTGATGTAAACTTGGTTCAGTGTATTGTTTCCTCTTGTTGGAAAGTCTGTGTTTGTATGTCTTTGGAAACACACTCCTTAGATCTGCATGGCTAAAATTGCCAGCCAAGATAAGAAAAACATCAGGGTGGGCTGTGTAGTGGACTAGGCCTACGTCGAAACTAAGTCTAAGGTCAAAACTCTTGACCTTTAGAACCTTGTGGGACAGGAACTGTCATTTCATGTATTTGAATACATAAATACAGGTTCACCCATCCTGAGACTTTCTTTCTTGAAGATTCAAGTGAAAAGAACACTCTCTTTTTATTATCATTACTATCTTACAAATGTTGATAATCAAAGTGTCTTAGTTCAAACCATTTTAGATGTTGCAGTGAACTAATCAATTTTATTAACTGAGTAATGATTTTTATTCTCATGTTAAAAGCTGTTGCAGAGTAATTATGCATTTTTCTGATTTCTGCTTTTGAATGAGCAAGTGTGTGCGTTTACAAGGTTACAGTCAAACGAAAAACAAGTTGTTATGTTAAAACTGTCATGTTTTAGAATCCTCTCAGACGTAAGTAGAGATGTTTTGCACCTGTTTCCTGAAACACGCCAAAACAAAACCCTCTCGGTCTGTGAGAACATTTCTGAGCTGTCCCATAACAATTCTCGCTGTCTCTAACCTCTTACGTCACAAAACCCACCCCGTCTGGTCGTTTCTGACCAATGAAAAATCCCAAAAAGTGAACCGGGAAAGAGTCTTTAAAATGTCAGTACTTCCTGGTCGACACAGGCTCAGAGAGTTGGAGAGTTGTCGGAGTTCTAAGAGTTCTGAGAGCGTAGAGTTCGGTGAGAGTCTACTCAAGTTCTGCTGAGTTCTGATGGAGTGCTGTTGGAGTTCCTGACATGACAACAAAGCTCTTCCGAGTTCCATGGGATTATAACATTTTCCACTGAGGTGAATATGTGTCGAACAGAGCCTCGCCATTACTTCGGACGAGTAACAGCATCCTACTGAGACGCTGAAAGGGTGCGTTAAACGGAATCTCACCTGAGACATCTCCAGGTAAAGGAGCCGATTTCATCATCTAAGTGTACTGTAAGGAAAAGCTGAAGAAAGCCGGAGAGTGTCGATTCTGGTGAACACTTAATTTCCCTCACATACCATCTTAACTCCCTCTAAACTTCTTTTCATCTTTAACTTTCTATCAAGTAGAAATTCTCCCAGATATTTAGAAATGTCTGTGTAAAGTGCTTACCCACATTCATGTGGGCAAAAGATCATAGTTGTACAGTTTTATAAATGTCTGTGGTGCAGCAACGGAAAAATCATGGCCGTATGATTTTTCCTGATTGATTGCTTATATTGTTATTTTCATAATTTGCCAAATTAATGTAAATGTTTGATGTTAAATTTGATTCTGTAAATAAATGACCGCATTCATTTTGATGGGTCAAATATAAATGACGTCTCACTTTGCATTTCCTTAAATTCAATGCACGTTTTATTCAGTCCAGAAAAATGAGGAACCCGCGTTAAATGATGAATATATCCCAGCATCTGTTCATCTACAGCTGTCTGTTGCTCACTAATGTGCAGATACAGTTCATTTAGTGCCTCACTTCTATTTTTGTTGCTGGAGCTTGGAGGTATATAAACAGCAATGATTATAACAGCTGTAAATTCCCTCGGTAAATAGAATGGTCGACCTTTAATAACCATAAACTCCACTAAAGGTGAGCAGTGTTTATAGACCACAGCAACATCACAACACCAAGCATTATTGATATAAACACATAGCCCCCTACTGCGGGTCTTACCTCCCTCAATGAGAGCTCTGTCCACTTTGTAGCATGTTAGCCGCTCGAGCTGAACAGCATGGTCTGGAACATTGTTATTAAGCCATGTTTCCGTAAACACAAAAACACAACAGTCTCTCACAGTCTTCTGTGTTGTCCGTAGTAGGCGTATATAATCCAGTTTATTGTCCAAAGAGTATATGTTGGCTAAAACCATGGATGGGATGGCCGGCTTGTGTGGGCTAGCTGCTAGCCTAGCTCGGATACCTCCACGCTTACCCCACTTCTGCTTCCTGTCATGCCGCTTATGCGCTTCCACTTTGGGCGTGATGAAGGAGTGTGGGTCGGTGATGATACCAGCTTCCAGAATAGGCCACAGTCATGTAACTCTTCTTTGAGTTTGCTGCTAATTCGTAAAAGTGTGTTTTTTCCAACATCAAGCAGGAACTCATGGCTATACTTGCGTTTGAAGAAATCTAGAGATGATGAAGACATACAAGCACATTGCGGCTCGCAGGAAAAAAAAAAAAAAACGAAAACACAGTTTTGTTGGGAGAGAAAAGCCTGTGGGGGAGTGGTGGCACAGAGTTTAGAAGATGGGCCTGTGATCGGAAAGTCGCAGGTTCAACTCCCGGTACCATCAACATCAAAATGTGGGTGGAATAGGTGGAACACCCACACCTCCCTCCACCATCATTCGCCCCACTCTGGGCCCCTGAGCAAGGCCCTTAACCCCCACCATCTGCTCCCTAAACAGGTCTCTCTTGAAAATGAGTTCTTGTGGCTCACTGAGACTACCTGGATAAATAAAGGGTAAATAAAAATAAATAAAAAGCTGCATGTGCGTGCGCCGCCATCTTGAACTGGAGAATTGGAGGCCAAATTAATGCCATCCAGAGAAAGTGAAAGACTACAAAATTTATTCCTAAGATGCTCAGGTTCAAAAACCACAACCTCGGTCTTGTCTGAGTTTAAAACCTGAAAATTTAGGGTCATCCAAGTTTTTATGTCTTTAAGACATGATTGTAACGTAAGTAACTGATTGGATTCATTGGTTTTCATGGACAAATATAACTGTGTATCATTCAGCATAACAATGAAAATTTATTCCATGCTGTTTAATAGCTTGACCTTATGGAAGCATATATAAAGTAAACAGTATTGTTCCAAGCACTGAACCCAGAGGAACTCCATGACTAACTTTGGTGTATGAAGAAGATTAACTATTTACAAACTAGAATCTACCAATTAAGTATGATCTTGATGACATGATGAATTAATTCAGCTATTTCTCATGTGTGAGTAGGTACACTCATACAACATGTAGGACTGTGCTCTGAGGATTGGGGTTAGAGATGTAGACACAACACCTTTATCCCTTTATCAATTTTTTTCTGTGCAGGTGGCAAAACTGCACAGTGCAAAATAGATCAGTTGGAGAATAAAAATGTAAACCAAATTATAAATGGTTTTTAAATGCTGTTGACATATTTAGTTAAATGCCAGCTCTGGTTTGTGTCTAACACTTACAGATCTGATGCATTGCATTTTTGACAGAGGCATGATCTGAATTGTGGGTTTTTGTGTCTTTCATTCAATTTTTTTCTATTTTTTAAATCAATCTAACGTGTGTCTCTGTCACTAGCCAGAAAATAGTTTTTTTTTTTTTTTCCCCCAGTGCCCTTGACATTTGTTTAAAGATGTGGGTTCAAATCCATACACTTACTGTAGCTCTTCGAAAATTTATTTTGTGCATTGGTTTTACAGTGCTTATTTGTTAACATGTTACTCTTCTTTTTCTTCTACAATAAATCATATGCAGGTGGTGATGGTCGCTTTGAAGTACACAGAAAGAGTGGCCAGGTCCAAACGACAGGCCTCCCTCTGCAACAGGACAGGGAGTACCTGCTGACAGTGGTGGCTGCTGATGGGCTCAGCAGTCGTAGTGCTCCTGCTGTTGTGTCTGTAGTTGCTGGAGCCCGGCCACCACAGTTTGTTAATGCTTCCTTTACAATCGCCATACCAGAGAACACTCCTGAAGGACAAACGTGAGTTAACTTGCTTTAATTTACTTTAGCTGCTGTATTGTATCACCTCCCAAACTAAGTTATATGTGCATCGTTGTTTTTTTACTCAAACATTAAATTTCTGCTGATATAAGTTGCTTATACACTGCTGTTCCCTGCTTAAGTTTAAAATAATAATAAAAATGTTTTTGTTTTTGTTTTTTTTTTGGGGGGGGGAGATAGACTGGTTTTGGCTGTGAATACAGGAATCTAATATAGCCCTCTAAATAGACTGAATTTGCAAGACAAGAGTCCCTTTACATATTTATGTACACAATAAGATTTGATATTTGCATTTTCATAATTATATTGCACATACCAAAGATTTCTTTAAAAAAATGTGTTTTGTTTTCCTGTGATGTGGACATTGACTTTGGGTGCTTATAGATGTAATCATTAGCACAAAAATATAAAAGCACAAAGATGTCATCGTTATTCTGTATTTTGTTTGAGTTGTGAAATAATACAGCCATAATTAAAGTGAAATGTTAATTTTCAGTGCATAATAACTGTTTCAGATGACACATCTTGACATACTGCAAAATTACCAGGAGGTTACTTAAAAGGGAACAGTTAAAGTTTATTGCATACATTTCTAATTTCAGAACTAAATCTGATTAGGAATCTGGGGTATAAGATAATGTACAACAGAACCAATCCGATTCAACTTGGAACAGCTAGACTAGATATTTTTTGGGAAAAAAATTAGTAATATTATAATAAAAAAAAGTGCAAAGTTATCCTTGCAACATTCACGATTTTTCTCCTTTTTTGTATACAGTAGTCCAATATTTGTTGCTGGGGATCCGTACTTCAAAGCCCTGCGATAAGTGAAATACCGCAAAGTAGGAATAGTAGTACGAGGACTAAGTAGTTGGCTATATATATATATATATATATATATATATATATATATATATATATACAAATATATATATACAAATATATATATACAAATATACAAACCGGATTCCAAAAAAGTTGGGACACTAAACAAATTGTGAATAAAAACTGAATGCAATGATGTGGAGATGGCAAATGTCAATATTTTGTTCGTAATATAACATAGATGACAGATCAAAAGTTTAATCTGAGTAAATGTAACATTTTAAAGGAAAAATATGTTGATTGAAAATTTCACAGTGTCAACAAATCCCAAAAAAGTTGGGACAAGTAGCAATAAGTGGATGGAAAAAGGAAATTCAGCATATAACAAACAGTTGGAAGACCGTCTAACACTAATTAGGTCAATTGACAACATGATTGGCTATAAAAAGAGCTTCTCAGAGTGTCAGTGTCTCTCAGAAGCCAAGATGGTAAGAGGATCACCAATTCCACCAATGTTGTGCAGAAAGATAGTGCAGCAATACCAGAATGGTGTTACCCAGCGTAAAATAGCAAAGACTTTTAAGTTATCATCATCAACCGTGCATAACATCATCAAAAGATTCAGAGAATCTGGAACAATCGCTGTGCGTAAGGGTCAAGGCCGTAAAACTCTACTGGATGCTCGTGATCTCCGGGCCCTTAAACGTCACTGCACCTCAAACAGGAATGCCACTGTCAAGGAAATAACGGAATGGGCTCAGGAATACTTCCAGAAAGCATTGTCAGTGAACACAATCCACCGTGCCATCTGCCGTTGCCAGCTGAAACTCTACAGTGCAAAGAGGAAGCCATTTCTAAGCAAGCTCCACAAGCTCAGACGTTTGCACTGGGCCAGGGGTCATTTAAAATGGAGTGTGGCAAAATGGAAGACTGTTCTGTGGTCAGATGAGTCACGATTTGAAGTTCTTTATGGAAAACTGGGACGCCATGTCATCCAGACCAGAGAGGACAAGGATAGCCCAAGTTGTTATCAACGCTCCGTTCAGAAGCCTGCATCACTGATGGTATGGGGTTGCATGAGCACTTATGGCATGGACAGCTTACATGTCTGGAAAGGCACCATTAATGCAGAGAACCATGTTCAGGTTCTAGAACAACATATGCTCCCATCTAGACGTCATCTCTTTCAGGGAAGACCCTGCATTTTTCAACACAATAATGCCAGACCACATTCTGCAGCAATCACAACATCATGGCTACGTAGGAGAAGGATCCGGGTACTGAAATGGCCAGCCTGCAGTCCAGATCTTCCACCTATAGAGAACATTTGGCGCATCATAAAGAGGAAGGTGCGACAAAGAAGACCCAAGACGATTGAACAGTTAGAGGCCTGTATTAGACATGAATGGGAGAGCATTCCTATTTCTAAACTTGAGAAACTGGTCTCCTCTGTCCCCAGACGTCTGTTGAGTGTTGTAAGAAGAAGGGGGGATGCCACACAGTGGTAAAAATGGACTTGTCCCAACTTTTTTGGGATTTGTTGATGCCATGAAATTTGGAAACAACAGATATTTCCCTTAAAATGATACATTCTCTCAGTTTAAACTTTTGATCTGTGATTTGTGTTCTATTCTGAATAAAATATTAGATGTTGGCACCTCCACATCATTGCATTCAGTTTTTATTCACAATTTGTTTAGTGTCCCAACTTTTTTGGAATCCGGTTTGTGTGTAATTTATATATTTATATATATATATATATATATATATATATATATATATATATATATATAGTGCGTTTTAAACCCGGCCCACACGCTTGCAATTTTCTAAACAATTTTTCTAAACTATAAACGCTCTAAAAGAATACAGAATGTCATTATTTCGTCTCTCTGCCACAGCTGCATGCTGTAGGAGGAAACTTCTCCTGCAGCTGTGGGCTGCATGCAGGTGCTAAGTATTTTTAAATAATTTACTTTACGTAAAAATTTCATGATGGTTGTGCCGCAGCCAATCAGCCAATTGTGTGTCATTTCCAATCTTACTTTGAAAAACCGCAATAGAGCGATTTCGTGAAAAACAAACCGCCAAGTAGCGAGGGACTACTGTAAATCAAGTTAAGCATTTTTGAATCTTTGAACAATTTGTTTTTTGTTGAGATGAAGTATTATAGAAATTCTAAAGAACAAATTCATTTTTATAAAATAAAAATAAAAAATTAGCTGCAAATACTTATATATTTATATAATTATGGCCTAAATTGTAATATATTTTAGTGAAAATCTAGGATTGAATTTCCAATTAACTTGCACACAAACACAAAATATGAGACTAGTGGGCACAAGATTTTGCATTATTATGCCACTATTTGCTTTGCAGCATCAGAATAAATCATTGTAGAAAAATACAACCTACACTAATGACTTGAACTACTTTCACTTTTTCCACAGCTTTCCTTGTAATAAAACCCTTTTAACCTAAGCAGCAGAAGTGAATAAAGGCCTCACTCTTTGTTTGTATTAGCAGGCTGGCTTGTAGATGTCTCTTTAACTGGCTGGTTTCAGGCCACTGTCAGGCTTCTTTTAAAAAAAGAGAGTCTGATTAGTTCAGGTAGTGGTGCCAGGTGGAGTTGATTAGTACAGCTGCTGAACATTGTCTAATGAGCCCCACCTCTCCCCTTGCAGCTGAGCAAAACCACACTTCATCACAGCATATTGCTTATGAGCACTGCTAATTTCTCTAACGGGGTAATTCCACAGATGTCATTTAGCAGCCGCAGCATTTCAGTCGATAGAAGTCATACATTCAATTTTACCTTTGTCTTCATCCACAGAAGATAAAAAAATGACACAACTATTCTTGTCTTGGATTTTTTTTTGTCATCATATTAGAAAGACTTTTAAAAAGGATCAATTAATGATGATAAGATTAATTATTTGTTATTGTTGTTTGGTTGTTTGTTAGTGTTGAATCTAATTGTATAACCCTGTCAGAAAAATACTAAATACACAAGAACATTTTCTCAATGGAAGACTTAAATTAAATACTGTAAATGCTCTATTGTTTTCTTAAATTTAAGAGTCCACCTATGGCAGTTTTCACTGTATGCCTGGAAAAAAACAAACAAACAAAAAAACAAGATATGGTGTCTAAAGGATTCCTTGTTTTCAGCCATAGCAAGTTATTCTAGCAAAGGGCAAAAGTATAAAACCATTTGCTTCTCCCTGTAGCTCAATAGCCTCACTGAGGTACTGCTGATATTTTGAAGTGTTTTCTGTTCTAAAATCCAAGGACATTCACTTCTAATAAAAATTATAAATAAGGTCAACAAGTCTAACACTTGACTAGCCTCTTTTGTCATGCCACTTCAGCTTGACATGACACCGTGCCATGAAATTGTCTAAAACTTTAAAAATTTGGTTTGCGGAAGTCTAAAAAAAACTAAAGAAATGTGACAATTTCAAAATGTTCCCTCTTAAGAATTATCTTCCTGCTTTTCTTTTTGTAGTTGTTTTAATAAAAAAATAAAAAAACACACACAAGCAAATGTGTATTTTGCATACAAAACCTTTTATGACCTGAGTTCAAAGCTCGTTTTATTTGTAGTTTTCTTCCTAAACTTAATTGTTCTAAAAACATGTATTCATCAGAAATCTTTCTTCACTAATTAGTTTCTAAAGCCTAAAAGATGAGCCAGTAAGAGTTGTAGCAGCCTTTCATTTTCTCAGAAAACCTGAACCAAGGCAATTCCAAATTTTGTCTAATCCTAATTTAATTCCCAACATCTGATTTCTAAACTTTTGACGTGATGCAGCAAATCTTTAGTTCTTGCTTTATTTTTTGGGGGTTTATTAAGATTTTAAATTGTATTGTACATAGTAGAGATGCACCGAGCCAATGTCAATATCTGTATTGGTCCCTAAATCCCCCACAAAAAACTTCTGGATCGGGTATCGTGACAATGTGAGCGATCCATGACTGGGCAGATCTATTCACTCTAATTCTGTTTTGTGCTCTGAGTGACGTCACGTGCTAGCGAACTCGCTGCACAGATTCTTTTCAAAATGGAGCGAGCGAAAGGATCAGCCCTCTGGAACTATTTCACACTACCTCAGCAAACACATTCGACAGCTACGTGCAATACGTGCACAGCGACAGTTCCAAAGGATGGCACTAAAACTTCCAGCTTTAACACTACCAACTTAATCTCCAGAGATTTCACCTTAAAGAGCACGCTGAGTTTGTTGAATGGAATTCAGCACTGTTTTTCTGTATCAGATTGGTATCAGATCAGTATTGGATAATGTTAAACAGCAGTTATCTGTATCGGTATCGGAAGTGAGAAAAGTGGATTGGTGCATCCTTAGTAGATAGTATCCTATAAGCACAGATTAATTTGTGCATCCAGTGTTAAATCTGAGATTTGCAACCATGCATTTGTTTCTTTGTTCATCCATTCAGTCAAACTCACCTAATTATTTACATTTTAGCACAAATATACAATGTACTCTTGTATAAAAACTGAAGAGCCATGAAAAAAATGTTTTGATGGATGATGTTAGAACATTACAAACCAACAATAAAAATCACAGTTCACAGGAGTGAACCTCTGAGAAAGATCCCTCAGAGGCCAGTATGTACAATCCTTAAAAAAAAAAAAAAAAAAAAAAAAAAAAAAAACACAGGAACTATGTTCTTGGGATACCAGTGGGCATATGTGTTGTTACGACAGGAGCTGGCTGTGTGTCACCGGTCACTGCAGCTAGCTGCTGCTAGCCGTGGGCCTTAGGCCTCCTCTCAGACCCAGGACCCGCCTCCAGCCCACGTCGCTCCCCCTGGCTCGAACCTCCCTCAGATGCGGCACTCACACTAACAATAAATCAAGGAAACGTGAATTCAGTTTTTCCAATTGTATTAAAATCAAGGCAGGAAAAGGTTACGATTTACAACGCTGGTCAGTCCGGTCTATGACGCGATCACAAACTGGAAGGGCTGATGTCCCGTGTCATTACTGATTTATAGGGCCTAGACTCCTCCTTCGCAGAAGGGGAGCACAACCTGTCACGTGTATGAGGGGGCGTGACTAAGTGTGATCTCAACAGATCTTACGTGGTTTGACGTGTAAGGAAAAATAAGACGATGCTTCAAAAAGCCTTTCTATGTGATGTAGCAAGCAAAAACAAACTATTCCTTGATGGATATTGAATTCCTGGGGGGACTCTTTTTAGAGTTGCTGGCCCCGTTTAACCCAGTCAGAACCGGGTCATAATTTCATTATAATCCCGTCTCTGAGCAGATCAAAAAATCCCAGGACCAGTCTAGATAAATATCTAACAGTGTTTATAATACCCGATGTCATCCTTTGGACAAACTAAACATACCATATCAGTTCAAGCATACCACACCAATTGTCCAACAAGATAATGGAGAACCAATACAATAGGCCTGATTTGCAGAGTTGACTAGTGTTAAAAGAAAAATAATAATTTATTGTGAACCATAATGAGAAGGCTGAAATAGTAAATATGAAGGCAGATGAGGAGAGAGACTGACAAATGTTTTTTTTGGAGTTACTTTCGGTTAAAATAAACTTTTAAATTGTTTTTATTGTATTTTATTGATTTAAGCATTTAATAAGATGCTCTGATAGGATGAGCTCAAAACGAAACTCTTGGGAAAACTCCAAGCACAATATCAGTTAAATATCTGGGACTACCCAGCAATTGTCAACCACCCCTATATTAAATCATCTTATCAGTAGCATCATCTTTATACAGCAACTCGGAGATAAAACATCAGTATCTTCATCACAATTCATGCTCAATAATCCAAGTAGAAAATCCAACAAAGTTCAGTCAGGTCATCTGGATGTTTTTTTTTTATTTTATTTATTTGTTGAGATGTTTTGTTTTTCATCCAAATAACTTCATCAGTCTGAGGAGCCACACACAAACTCAGTCCAATAAGCTGCACACCCTCATATTGGACCAACCACTTGGCTGGTGATAAGATAGTTTCTGGGGCCCGCCGTGTCCCCCATCGACTCCTCTGAAGTAGCCATTGACAAAGTGGTCCAAAACATCAACGTTCATGCTCAGTAATGCAGGTAGAAAATCCAACGAAGTTCAGTCAGGTCATCTGGATACATCGGTAAAAAAAAAGAAAAAAATCAGTAAATTACTTAATTTCACCAAGTTGTACACCCAGCCCACCTTTTTTTTTTTCATTTCATACAAAGTAGGTTACTTTTTTACAATTAGGTTTGAAGTCATCATAAACATGTATCATGATAACTTTTATACTCATAGAGAGATGAATATAGTGACCAAAGCTCCAAAAGTATGATTTGGCAAAAGTATAAATGGACCCTATGCTTTTAAAAATCAAAGACAAAAATGTAATTGTTTAAACATAATGAAAAAATGCAATAAAGTTTAGTTTTTCCTAATCCGACCCAGGTCTTTGTCACATGTGGTACTGAATCAGATACATATTCAATGGTTTTAAATGTGACCTCAAGCCGAACAGTCATGCCGCATTTCATCTGACTTTTATGTGATGTGTCTTCAGCTACAAAACACCAAACTATTATTCTAATGTTCTTTTTATGCTTAGAATGTAACAATATGATCACATTTCTAAAAGACTTTCACGCATGAAACTAGCAAGCACTTGAAGCAGTTGTACAAAAAAGTAAAGCCCCTTGAAGAAAAGACACTTAGGGACCTGCTTTGTTCATTTAGAACAATTGTGGAAAAACGAACACAATGGACATTTGAAAAAACGCAGGACCACAGTTACAACACAGTTATAACGTGATTTGTAGGATGGCAAACCAGCAAAATACAGTTTTTTTTTTTTCTCCTCGTTTTCTCAGTGTGCTTCAAAATTATTTTCAGTTTTAGTGAACTAAAAAGTAAAATGCTAAAAGGTACCTTTTAACATTTTAGTGGGGGTGGGGTTGACAAAGAATAACAATTTCAATAGTTTTACTACTTAGATGTTTTATTTACGGAGTGCAGCTTCTCTCACTTAATGTTTTCTTCAAGACTTCTCAGGAAAACATTTTTTTTTCAGTGGGTTGCAACAATTTGTTTGAATTTAGTAAGTGATCAATTATAGAAAAAACATAAGTGGACATTTTACATTGATTCTGTCAAATCTGTCTAGTTTGCCTGCATTGTTACAAGTAAGGAGTTTTTTTAATGTTCAAGTACTTTTAGTTCCAAGAAAGTGCATACATTTGAATTTTCAGACATAACTCTCATAGTGTGATGTTCACAAGTTAAAATGTGATTACACTAATGCAATATTTAAAATATGACACTGACAGGGCGTTTTGTCTTTATATAACTCCATTATATTCTTATATACATAAAAAGATTATTTTTTGTAAATGTAATAACATGTAATGCTTTGCACAGAACAAAATAACTTAAAAATGACATTTCATTTATACATGTCAGACTGATAAATGTGCCTTAAAATTAGATCATTTCAGTCAAAGGCATTTATATTATAAATACTTTAGCTCATAAAATTACATGTATTTTTCCATATTTGATCATTTATTGAACTACATTTATCAAAGTACAGCTACTTCACAGTATGCTTCCAAAAATAAACAAGCTTAGTCCATACAGATAACAAAAACCTTGCTTATTAGCACTAATACTGTTTAGAATCGATATTTGCATATATTTATGATAAACTACAAACACTAGAAACTGACACTCACACATATAGAACATTTATTAATAAAAATAATAATAGAGTTTGTAGATTTTCCTTGCTTGGACTTTAGGTTGGTTTCATGTTTATAAAGTATCAGTACTTCTGAGTCTTATAATATACAAATTTAGTCAATACTTGAATATCTAAACATGTGTTTAGCATTTCACTGCTATATGGTAGTTCCACTCATTGTCCTTTTGGTTTTATTGCCATGCTGTCTGTGTCATAATCGTCTTAACATTAATTAAACATTATTTTATCAAAAAGCATATTTGGAACTCAGTTTTTTAATGTTTCACGTGAATACATTTGAATGCAATCAGTCTTGCTTTTTCTCCATGTTTCCTCAGCTTCTTGGTGACACCTGCTGTGTCTTTTCAAAAGAAACCAATCAGCTACAGCCTCCTCATCAATCCCAGCAGTCTCTTCTCCATTTCAGCAGAGACAGGTGAAATCAGCCTGACCCGCTCTATCGATTACGAGAGTGACCAACATCGATACTTGCTATTGGTGCGAGCCAGCGAGGGCCAGGACAGCATGAGCAGTGCAGCAGAGGTTTGTGTTATGTGATTCCCAAGTCACTTTCCACCAGTCAAATGCAACAACTTGATTTTTGCAATTGAGAACAGTTAGCATTCTTATGTACTTTAAAGATATTCCCACTGGAGCTGAAAATCTCAGATTATTGTGAAGCATTAGATTTTAAGGTGCATGAATGCTGTGAGATTTAAAGGTTATCAATCAGTCTCAGTAACTACTTATACCTTAGTTGCTGCAAATGTAAAAAAAAAAATAATAATAATAATAATTATTTGAAGGCCTACTGAGGTATTTATTGTTTTTGTTTTTTTCATGGAGACATACGATTAGGAGGATTAAGCAAAAATCTAATATAATACTTTGCAGTATTATTTTGTATGCAGACTGGAGAAAAGGGTTAATAAAAAAAAAGAAAGAAATATACAGGTCCTTCTCAAAAAATTAGCATGTTGTGATAAAGGTCATTATTTTCCATAATGTAATGATAAAAATGAAACTTTCATATATTTCAGATTCACTGCACACCAACTGAAATATTTCAGGTCTTTAATTGTTTTAATACTGATGATTATGGCATACAGCTCATGAAAACCCAAAATGCCTGTCCCAAAAAATTAGCATATCATGAAAAGTTTCTCTAAACAAGCTATTAACCTAACCATCTGAATCAACGACGTAACTCTAAACACCTGCAAAAGATTCCTGAGGCTTTTAAAAACTCACAGCCTTGTTCATTACTCAAAACCGCAATCATGGGTAAGACTGCCGACCTGACTGCTGTCCAGAAGGCCATCATTGACACCCTCAAGCAAGAGGGTAAGACACAGAAAGAAATTGCTGAAGGAATAGGCTGTTCCCAGAGTGCTGTATCAAGGCACCTCAGTGGGAAGTCTGTGGGAAGGGAAAAGTGTGGCAGAAAACGCTGCACAACGAGAAGAGGTGACCGGACCCTGAGGAGGATTGTGGAGAAGGGCCGATTCCAGACCTTGGGGGACCTGCGGAAGCAGTGGACTGAGTCTGGAATAGAAACATCCAGAGCCACCGTGCACAGGCGTGTGCAGGAAATGGGCTACAGGTGCTGCATTCCCCAGGTCAAGCCACTTTTGAACCAGAAACAGCGGCAGAAGCGCCTGACCTGGGCTACAGAGAAGCAGCACTGGACTGTTGCTCAGTGGTCCAAAGTACATTTTTCAGATGAAAGTAAATTTTGCATGTCATTCGGAAATCAAGGTGCCAGAGTCTGGAGGAAGACTGGGGAGAAGGAAATGCCAAAATGCCAGAAGTCCAGTGTGAAGCACCCACAGTCAGTGATGGTCTGGGGTGCCATGTCAGCTGCTGGTGTTGGTCCACTGTGTTTTTATCAAGCGCAGGGTCAATGCAGCTAGCTATCAGGAGATTTTGGAGCACTTCATGCTTCCATCTGCTGAAAAGCTTTATGGAGATGAAGATTTCATTTTTCAGCACGACCTGGCACCTGCTCACCGTGCCAAAACCACTGGTAAATGGTTTACTGACCATGGTATTATTGTGCTCAATTGGCCTGCCAACTCTCCTGACCTGAACCCCATAGAGAACCTGTGGGATATTGTGAAGAGAAAGTTGAGAGACGCAAGACCCAACACTCTGGATGAGCTTAAGGCCGCTATTGAAGCATCCTGGGCCTCCATAACACCTCAGCAGTGCCACAGGCTGATTGCCTCCATGCCATGCCGCATTGAAGCAGTCATTCATGCAAAAGGATTCCTGACCAAGTACTGAGTGCATAACTGAACATGATTATTTGAAGGTTGGTGTTTTTTGTATTAAAAACACTTGTCTTTCATTGGTGGGATGAAATATGCTAATTTTTTGGGACAGGCATTTTGGGTTTTCATGAGCTGTATGCCATAATCATCAGTATTAAAACAATTAAAGACCTGAAATATTTCAGTTGGTGTGCAATGAATCTGAAATATATGAAAGTTTCATGTTTATCATTACATTATGGAAAATAATGACCTTTATCACAATATGCTAATTTTTTGAGAAGGACCTGTATATATTTATCTTGATGAATTTTATGTTTGCTTTTTTTCACACTTGGGCCTGTTTATTGTTTAGAACTAAATGTTTACTGTCGCCAAGTAAAATGACAGCTTTAAATATACAACCAGTTGCGCATTTAACAACTTAGTTTTATTTTTAAATGATCTAGATTGGTTTTATTTAAAATTAGCTAAGAGGCAGCACAAGCCAGTGTACCTCTTGTGCTGGTCCCAAGCCCAGATTGGTGAGGGTTCTGCCAGGAAAGGCATCCATCATACAACACTTTTGCCAAAACTAATATGCGAGTTCATCTAAGCGACATTATACAAAATCGATTAACAATGACCACCACCAGTGCTGTTGACACCACTGGAAATTGTGCTACTGTTAGTCAAAACTGCAAGGAGGAAAATGTGTCAGGAGACAGAGGGAGAAGAGGAAAGTCAAGAATGTAGGACTGAGGGTTGCAACTCTAAATGTGAGGACAATGACAGGCAAACTTAGGGAGTTGGCTGACATGATACAGAGAAGGAAGGTAGATATTTTTTGTGTCCTAGAGACCAAATGGAAGGTCAGCAAGGCTTGCAACATTGGACCAAATGGAAGGGCAGCAAGGCTTGCAACATTGGAGCAGGGTTCAAACTATTATACTATGATTTGGATAGAAAGAGGAATGGAGTAGTGGTGGTCCTGAAGGAGGAGTTAGTAAAGAATGTAGTAGAGGTGAAGAGTTTCATATAGGATGATGCGTCTGAATGTAGAAGTAGAAGGTCTGATACTAAATGTTGTCAGTAGTTATGCTCCACAGGTTGGATGTGAAGTAAAGGAGAAAGATAGATTTTGGCAGGATTTTGATGAAGTGATGGAGAGTATTACCAAGGGGGAAAGAGTGGTGATCGAGGCAGACCTGAATGGACATGTTGGTGAAGGAAACGGAGGGGATGAGGAAGTGATTGGTAGGCTTGGTGTCAAGTAAAGAAACTCAGATGGTGGTGGATTTTACCAAGAAAATGGAAATTGTTGTAGTCAACACTTATTTCCAAAAAAAGGAGGAACATTGACTGACCTATAAGAATGAGGGCAGGAGTACACAGGTAGACAACATTCTGTGTAAAAGAGGAAACCTGAGGGATATTGGGGACTGTAAGGTTGTGGTAGGGGAGAACATGGCCAGACAGCATCAAATGGTTGTGTGTAGAATAACTGTTGTGAGGAAGAGAAAAATAATAAAATCAGAGAAGACAAAATGGTGGAAGCTGAACAAGGAAGAATATAGTGAGAAAACTAGAGAGGAGCTTTTAAAGGCTCTGGGTGCTAAGAAAGAGCTTCCAAATGACTGGGCTACTACAGCCACAGTAATTAGAGAGACAGGTAGGACTAGGAAGGTACTTGGTGTAGGGGTTGAACAACTACATAATTTTTAAACTCGAAATTAACATCATAAAACTCGAGTAGAACTCGAGTACTTGATGACATCATAGGATCTAAAGATACAAAAATAAATAAATAAATAAATAAAACTGCAAAAAAATGTCATTATTTACAAAAAAAGACCAACAAAACATTGGGAGCATATATTATGCTCCTACCATTTATCATACTGCAAATAAGTCGCAGGAAAAACAAAACTATTAGTTTTTATCAAGTTGCAAAGTGAAAGAAACATGCGGCATGTCAAAAACGAAACTAAAAACATTGGGGCGGACGACCACCCCGCACCACCGCCAGCTGTGGTGCGCACTAGGTTTAGTTTTAGAGATTAATATGTTTAAAGGTTTTTTTTTTAGGTTTAGAGATTAATATCTTTTGCTTTTTGTTTGTGAAACAAGGTCAGAGGAAACTGGTTCTGGTTCGGTCGATTGGACCCGGTGTTGCACCATATTCTGTGACCTGCAACAGTGCATGCAACACCGCCCCCTACAGTCACAATATACAGTGGTCACAGAATATGGCGTAACACCGGTTCGCAACGGGCTCAAAACAGTCAGGAAGTTGATTCATTTTCTGTTTGCTTACAGTAGTTGAACCGGAAGCTTCATCTTTAGTGAAATATTTCCATACATTTCTACCTGTTTGCCAAGACTGGGCCTGCTCCGCTCCATCTGTCTGTTTGGAGGAATCCATTTTGGAACCCGCGCCCGGTGCAGATCACGTGACGCAATGATGTAACGGCGACGTAATGACGTCACCACGAATACTCGACGTGAAATTAAAAAACTCGATAGATGCCCTAGGAATCGATGTGTGGATTACTCGAATAGTCTGTTAAAGCCCTAACTTGGTGTCTCATCTGGATAGAGACAAGATGATAAGGAAACCTGGTGGTCAAACAGTGAAATGCAGGAAGCTATTCAAAGAAAGGGTTTAGCCAAGAATAAATGACAGTGAGAACATGTGTGAATAAACATGAATATAAGGAGATACATTATAGAGTATAGAAGGAAGTAGCTAATGCAAAGCAGAGGATTTATGAGTTGTACTGGAAGCTGTAGACTAAGAAAAAGTGGGAAGGATCTGTACAGATTGGCGAGACAAAGGGATCAGGGTGGGAACGATGTGCAATAGGTTAGGCTTGTTAAATATAGGAATGGTAATGTTGTAAAAATTGGTCAGTTCACTTTATTTATATTGTGCCAAGTCACAACAGAAGTCATCTCAGGGAACTGTACAAAACATTCAGCCAATTAGTAAAAGTGATCTATCTAAGGATGTTCACAGATTGCGTTGAATCTACTTTGTAGCATTTTCCCTTTCTGAGCAAGCATATTGGCAACAGTGGAAAGGAAAAACTCTGTTTTATAACAGGAAGAAGCCTCCAGCAGAACCAGGCTCAGGATGTCCTGATGCATGCTCAATAATCCAGGTAGAAAAATCTAAAAAAGTTAAATCTGGTCCTCTGGACATTCAAAAAAAAGGACATAACAGAGGACCAGATTTAACTTTTTCAGGCTCAGGATGGTTTCATGCCAAGAAAGAGCAGCACAGATGCC